TTTACGAGAGGTACAAATCCCGTCTTGACTATCTACAATCCAGCACATGATTCGTTTCGTACCTGATACACGCCTTTATAGTCCTCATGTTATGCAGGACGTTTGACGTAATCAAAGTACGCAACTCCTCATGTTGGATAGATATCTCAGGTCTTAGGATCCAATCATGGAACCGTCATATGAGGTTCAAGTCATGACGCTAGTCCACATGACAATCTCATGCGGGTCAATCCAGTATTCCGTTCTCCAACGAATACCTATGATTGTGATCGTATCCAATACCTATGATCATCTATATGATCATCAATCACACATCACACTAGTCTTATTATGTCATCATTCCCATAATGACACAAGACTAGGGAGTTAAGTATCATTCATAATGATACATGGATTTCATAACACATCTAGTATGCAAGAACATGTAATGAATCAAATACTCTCATAAAACCATAGAAAGTATCAATACATCAAATGTATCTAAATAAAGCTCATAAACAGTACATCATAGAGCACTAAACCAACACATCGCCCAATCTTTCCTTGACCTTGACACCGTTTTCTCAAGTATCGCCTTGATCTCCCTATTTGAGATTTCAACTTGTCTGCTCGTTTGAGTGTGATACGGGGTAGCCACCTTATGCTTCACAACATACTTCTTCAAAAGAGCTTCGATGGTGCGGTTGATGAAGTGGGACCCTCCATCGCTGATCACGACCCTTGGCGTCCTGAATCTTGGAAAGATCACCCTCTTGAACATCTTAGTCACCACATTCGAGTCATTAGTGAGACTCGCCATCGCTTCCACCCACTTTGTGACATAGTCTACCGCCACTAGAATGTACTGATTCCCATAGGAAGACGGGAATGGTCCCATGAAGTTGATTCCCCAAACATCGAAAGGTTCAACTTCCAAGATGTAGTGCTGAGACATCTCGTGGCGGCGTGATATATTTCTGGTCCTTTGGCAAGCGTCGCAAGAAGAGACGTATTGGTGAACGTCCTTAAACATTGAAGGCCAATAAAACCCGCCTTGAAGAATTTTAGCTCGGTTTTCGATACTCCGAAATGACCTCCATAGTCTGAAGAATGACAATGATGGATTGATAACTCCTATTCTTCTCTATATATTGATGAGTATTTGTCTAGATTTTGTGGGATATTCATGTGCATTTATAAGCATTCTAGGCGTATTAGGATACAAAATCTGGTTTTGCTCTAGTTTTGCAGAGTTACAGGTTTCGGAGGTGATTGAAACCGAAAAGGAGCTATTTGGAGCGTTAAAGGAGATGTCCGGATGAGGTACTCATGTTGCAACGTCGATAACTTTCTCCACAGAAGTCCAAATCGCACGAAATTGTACCATTAGAAAAAGGACTTCAAGAACTTCGTGTAGACACCAAAATCGCGTAAATCCGACTTCAGGGCAGAAAGTTATGAGCAAATTCGTGAAGACCAGAATTCTGCCGATCTGGATCCGGTCCGGATCCACCTGGAATCGGTCCGGATCAAGTTAACCCTAATTCGCGATTTTCAGTCTTCTACCGAGAGTAGAACTCTTGGGAGCCACCCTAAGGTTATAAAAAAGCCCTAGCCACGTCCTAGAACAGGGGAGAACCTTAGAGAACACTTAGATACAGATTTTTGGAGAGCTTTTGGTGAGAGAAGAATAGAAGTTCACGGGATTTCGGGAAGAAGAAGGAAGATTCGATCGTGGAGACTACACATCTGCATGAGACTTTCTTTCCTCTCTTTTATCTCTTTCTTTATGAGCTTTTTATTGTTTTCCATGAACCGTGAATAGATCCATGACTATGGGTTAGAGATTCGTTTGTGTTTTGGATATGTTTGAACCCTAACTTGGATTTCGGTTTTGATTTGTTTCGGTTCTATTGATTTGCGCTTTTATTGGATTGATGTTTGCTAACCCCTTGGTCAATTATCTTAGATTCTAAACTACATAGAGA